AGCTTATAACTAAATTCCATGCAGCGAACATAAATTCAAAGAAGCCCATATAACTAATTTCCCTTTCTTTTCAAAAGATTCAATTTCAGAGGCTCAACCATCAAATTCAGTCACATAAACAGCTAACTTTAGTCACAGAACAGCAAAATTAAAGGAAACTGAAATCCGAAATGATATGGTTAATTTGTTTTTCAAGAAACCCGTTAACTCAACTCATATACGGTTCCAGTAAAATTTACATGTATCCCACACACAAGTCAGAGAAAATTAGTCCTGAACAAACACAAGAAAAGAGGATGACGAAAAACAAACAAAATGGGGGAAAGAATTAAAAAGAATCACAAAACATATATTAGTCGCTCGAAGAACAATCTCGCCTACGAGATAAACAGTTATTTAGCATCATATAGTGAACGCAGATGCTTTTACTTGCAGTAACTAAGTTAAATAAATTTCAAGGCCTCATCTTCATTGAATCGACACGCACTACAGCATACTCCTACTTACACCTACTTCGGATCGGATATCAGGAGTATATTGTGAGTTTGAAGGTCGTTGAGGCTTCCATGATTGTAGGTGGCTATGACTCTATGGGTTGCTGAAGATTTAATGGCTTTTCTTGAGTGGTCCGCACTTCAACTTGGCCACTTGGGTGAAAATTTTTTTTTTTTTTTTTTTCCAATTCCGGATAACAGGTGGTAGCTTTTTTATTTTCTTTTTAATTACGTGTCAATATTTAACAACTCATATGCTTGTCAGTCATGGTCGTAAACGGCGTTTGTATGCCTGTTAGCTTGGGATAAAAATGATCTATTTTTACTATATTAAGGGAGAACGATATTAAATGTACTTGAAAAAATATTTCAGGGTACTGGATGACCTTTAATCCTATATTGAATTAATATATCTACTAGCTACCTTATTATTGTGAATTACAACACATTAAGTCAGTTGATATCAAATTGCGATTACCATAATAATAAGAATAAAACTAAGGCTTCACATAAATAAAAATCTAAGAAAAAGAAGAAATATAATACATATTTACATATCTTTATATGATGAACAAGAATCTCATAAATGAACATAGCACGCCATCGTTCATTATAGTTAAGAACTTCTTGTAATATAAGATAATCATGTAGTGATCTAGAATCAAAACTATATGGGTTTTAACCATTTAATAAGATAGAAAATCAATATACATAAATCATGATCATCTAATCTCAAGGTAGGAAATCATATATATATATATATATGTATGTATATATATAGCTTCTAGTCATTTAAACTCAAGATAGAAAATCAAATATATGGCTTCTGGCCATATAAAATAGAAAATTGAAACTATATGGCATTTGGCTAGTTAATCAGATAGAAATTCAAAGTTATCTGTCTTTCGGTTATAACATAGAAAATTAAAGTCGTATGGCTTCTAGTCGTAACACAAGTATGATATATGGCTAATGGTCATTTAATCTCAAATTTATATGGACAAATATATCTTCGACCTCAATAATGAACCTAATAGTAAACCTTTAGGAAGAGTGCAACTATCAATTGAATTTACATTAAATACTAGCATTTGAACTTTCTAAGAGTTTATCCCTATATCTTGTGGCCTTTGGCTCCATACCAAATTTTGTTATTTATTGCTAACATTTGAGCTTTCTAAGGGTTTGCCCCACATTTGGTGGCCTTTTGGCTCCACAACAAATTTTGCAATTTATTACTAGCATTTGAACTTTCTAAGGGTTACTCTTACATCTTGTGGCTTTTTGGCTCCATAACGAATTTACCATTTACTTTCAATAAATATATTCATAGGGCATTTGCTTGAATATGACTTGTAGCCATATTATAATCATTACTCCCTCAAATTCTTTCAATTTGGATATTAGCCATATGTAATCATAAGTATTGATTAGAACTCCATGTTCTATCAAAATTAGTGACATTAGGTCAATAAGGGATGTATAAAAATATCGATTGAAACTTTAGGTTCCATTGAAGATAGTGACATCAGATCATCTAGAAATAGATAAAAACAAATTTCTTGTATCACAAGTAATTCAAAAGGTATAATATTTATATAAAAAATAAATTATAGTGCAAAAATATATTGTAATAATAATCTCCAATCCTAGCTATGAAATTCAATGTTTGAAACAATGGTAAATAATCTTTTTAATTTCATATAAGGGCTTAGGTTATCCTAGATAAATTAAATAGGGATAAGGATACTTTGAAACACCATGTATATGATGCTTGAGATATGTTTATTTAAATAGAGCAAAAGATACTCTAGAAAAATCATAAAAATTATGCTCTAAAATTGTGCTAGGTTTGAAAGGTATACCATAGTTACTTTGGTTAGAGTTTCGTGCTGATAACATGTTATAAAACTAAAGAAAGAGTAGAGAATAAGAGAAGAGACTAAGGAAGAATAGAATACAAGAGTATTTCTCATTCCATCCAAGGTACATAATAATAGGAGATAATTGTGGGATATAGGAGATAATGGGATATAGAGATAATGAGAGATACTGGAGATAATAGGAGATATATAGACATCCACAAAGATATTATTTTATTCATAACAATGAGTAGATTTTGCAACATTTTTTGTGCTCTGAGGTCTATATGCAGAAAAGTTACCTGTTTTCCATGTGTGAATTTTGATCTCATCAATTAGGAATCCAGCTATATATTTCATAGTTGATAAGGTTGAAGTAATTATATGAATGTTTATTTCAATAAGTCATGTTTGCCTTTGTATCAATCCATTTGGAACTAAATATTTTCGTAAGAAACTTTTAAACAAATCACATAAATTAGGGGAAAAAAGGTAGCTAAAATCTTCAAGGATGATTGGCGTTGTTCATCAACAATGCTGCTATAAACAGTACCATATATGAATAATAAAATTTAATCTTCTATTCTTTTATGAGTCCTCACTGGAATTCCTTCTCTCTGTTCCCCGAACTTCCTGTTCACATTTTTGAAATTTTCAAACGATTAAAATATAAAAATAATTTAAAAAATATTATGACTTCAAACACCATGTTCAATCTAAAAACCACTTCTTTATACGTCTTTTTTGGCGAAATAAATCTCTTCATAGTCTTTCTAAATTCTCAAAATAACATTTCATAATATTTACTCAAATTTTTTAGTCATTAAATAATTTTAATAATTAGTTTTCCTTAAATTCTTACCTGAAATAAGCTTTTTGAGCCACTAAAATATTTTTGAGACTATTATTTTACATAATCTCTTTAATCTCACAAACACTTGAAAACTATTATTCGGGCCTTAAATTTCAGGATATTACAAAATGGAGGTAGATCTGTATAAAAAAAGTTTTGTTTATTTATTGCAATATGGCACTTGAAGTGATAATCTTTTCTTTTAAACATATTCATATTTTAATTTTAAAAAAAAAAAAGTTGAAGGGAGAATTACTTGTAGTACCATAGAAACACTTTAATTATTAAAAAATCTTTTGAGTTGTTATGATGCCACGATTTATTGTCATCTCTTACACTAATCGATTCTATCATTACATACTACTCAACTTTTATCGGATTTTTTGGTGATTAGATTGCTATGCAAAAGTGCAGGTAAGCAGTGACTTTTCCCACACAATAGTTCAAATTGTGATATTTTTTCTAATTTTATTTATATTTTAATAATTAAAGAAGGCAAAAAAGGGAAAAGAGGAAGTTTGGGAAAAATAAGAGAAGGAATTTCAATTGGAACCAATCAAAGAATAGAAGATGAAAATTAGTATAGTAATTCATTGCACTTTTTATATCGATTGAAGAGTAACAGCGCCACTTTTTACATAAAAGAAGATTTTAACCACCTTCTTTGTCCATGTGATTCGACCGTAAGTGGCTTATAAAAATATTTACTTCCAATAGATGGATGCATAGGTAGGCATGACTCACTGCAGTGCACATTCATGAATATAATTAAATCAATCTTATCAACTAATATACATATATATATTTGGATTCCTAATCGTTGAGATCAAAGTTAATTACAATTATATGGTAAGTTGGTAAATTTTGCGTTTATAAACATCCAAGAACACAGAAAAACTTCCCAAATATACACAAACACATATAGCTCCTTTTTTTTTTCTTTTTAAATTTTGCCATGGAACGTGTTTTCCTCCTCATCTTTCTTTTTGTCAAATCCAAATCTTGATGGTTCAGCCTCGAAACTTGAAAACACAAAAGGATCAAATCAAGCATCATGATTTTGCTAAAAGTTACCTCAAGGCATACGGCTATCTCAGGGACAATCAAGATGATGATGTGGAGTCAGGAATAAGGAAGTTTCAAGAATTCTATCAACTGAATGTTTCTGGAAAACTTGATCCTGAAACGATCAAGTCAATGGGACGACCTAGATGTGGCGTGCCAGATCACACGTCTAGTACAAGTCTTTTCAATAATTCAAAATATGTCACTTTGTGTCATGACCCGAAATGAAAATGAAAATGCAAATGACGTGAAGGACCTCTCATGTGCCAAGGGAATGCGACGCAGCATGAGGACCAGGTGTCCCACGTGGAAACTTAGGGAATAAATACGGTTAGGGAGTGGAATAAGGCGTGGTGGTTGTTGTGACGTTCCTCTCTATACTCTGCTTCTTCTCTGGACCCTGTGTGGTTACTTCCTCCCTCTACTTTCTCTGCACTTACTCTGTATTTTCAGTTATTCTGCAGCACTGATGTTTCGTTATTCTTGAATGATTGCATTGTAAATTCCATATGATTCACTAATACAAATATCATTCAGAGTATTATTGATCATTGATTGTTGACTGTTAATAGATCCATAACATTTGGTGCTTTCATTGAGAGAATGGTGGAGGCAACCGGATTTAAAGATTTGCAAGCTAATGTTAAAAATATGAGCGAGCAAATGAAATAGAATGAAGTAAATAACAATGCCAGATTGGACCGTATTGAAGCTGCTATAGAAGCGATGGCACAAGCTCCCGATTCCAGGTTTGATAAATTGGAAGCTGCATATTCCGGATTGATTAAGGATCTTGAATCACATCAAAGAAATGCAGAGAGACTATCGCAGCTAGTTACGTCAAATATAGCAACACATGAGAAGGGAATGAGTTCAGGGTCGTACAATCCTAATGGGCACACAACGAACCAGGTGAAAATAGACTTTCCAAAATTTGATGGGACTGATCCTGAGAACTGGTTATTCAGAGCTGAGCAATATTTCGCCTATTATCACACTCCTGACCCCACCGTCTTGTACTCGCCGCCATTAATATGGAGGGAGACGTTATCCCTTGGTTCCAAATGCTTCAGAAGATGAAGGTGATATACAACTGGTCTTCGTTGGCCCGAGCCATAGAAGAGGAATATGGGCTGTTGCTGTTAGAACAACCCAGAGCAAAGCTATTCAAGCTAATGCAAACCCAGTCAGTAGAGGAATATTGCCGACAGTTCTTGACGCTTGCGAATCTACAGAGGGCGTTTTAGATGATGCTCTCTTAGACTGCTTTATAGGAGGATTGAAACCGGAAATCCGAAGAGAAGTGATCTCTCGACATCCACCAAATTTACAGAAGGCTATGGAGATTGCAAAATTATTTGATAATTTTGATGCTCTGGCTGTGCCTGTAAGGAATCGCTCGACCAACTCTACTACGCCTGGGACTACCAAAATTGTGAGTCAATCATCGAGCAGATTAGGACTCAAGAGCAACCTTCCTCCACTATTACCAACCCCAAACATGAAACCCATAACTCTTGTCAAGAAAATGACGCCGGCCGAAATGTTGATCAGAAGGGAAAAGGGATTGTGTTATACTTGCGATGCCAAGTTTACCCCAGGACACAAATGCCCTAACAAACAGTACATGCTCATTGAGTATGAGGAAAGCGAAGAAAACACTGAGGTAGGGGTCGAACAACACCAGACAGCAACAGTAGAGAACGAGCCAATATCCATACATCACTTATCTCTACCTGCTTACCATGGGTCTCCAGGTAAGGCTACTATTCGTTTCACTGGGATGATAAATGGAACTGAGGTACAAATTTTGCTGGATGGGGGAAGCTCTGATAGTTTTATTCACCCCCGAATCGCTCAGTTTTTGAAACTTCCAATAGAGCCAACTAGAAATGTGAGAGTCATGATTGGTGATGGGAACGCTATGAAAGGTGAGGGCATAGTCAAAAAGGTCACAATACACGTACAAGGATACCCACTAGAATTCCCAGCCTTTGTACTAGCAATTGCTGGGTCAGACATTGTTATTGGGGCATCATGGCTTGCAACACTAGGACCACATGTAGCAAATTATGAGATTGGAAATGCTTATATCAAATTCTACCTGGGTAGTGATTTTATTACCTTGAGGGGTACACACAAGGCAGTGGTATACCATGCTACTTATAATCATTTCCAGAGGCTGATACACACTGACACTGTGGCGGAATGCTATTTCCTACAGATGGAGCAAATAGAAGCAGGGCAAGAGGGTGATACTGTTGATGAGGTTATGGGTACCGAGATGCAAGCAGTTCTGGACAAATATCAAAGCATATTTGAGAAACCTCACGGGTTACCACCTCCACGAGAGAGGGATCACAGAATTTTGCTTAAAGAAGGGACTGAGCCAGTTAAGGTCCGCCTTTACCGATACCCCTTCAGTCAGAAGACTAAGATTGAAAAGCTTGTGAATGACTTACTGGTAGAAGGGTTTATACAACCCAGCACTAGTCCATTTTCTGCCCCAGTCATTCTAGTGAGGAAGAAAGATGGAACGTGGTGAGTTTGCGTGGATTACTAGGCTCTTAATGCTACTACAGTGAAGGATTCCTTCCCTATGCCCACAGTGGATGAACTTCTTGATGAGTTGGGTGGCTCTATGTTTTACACCAAGCTAGACTTGCGTTCAGGGTATCACCAAGTGCTCATGCACCTTGCAGATAGAGAGAAGACAGCCTTTCACACTCACCAAGGACTTTATGAATGGCTAGTAATGCCCTTCAGACTATCAAATGCCCTTGCAACTTTTCAAGCTTTAATGAATTCAGTATTTCAGCCTTTTCTACGCAAATTTGTCCTAATATTTTTTGATGACATCCTCATTTATAGTACTACATAGCAACAACACCTCCTACATGTAGAGAAAGTACTTGAGCTCATGGTTCTTCACAAGTTGTTTGCCAAATTATCGAAGTGCTCATTTGGAAAAACCAAAGTGGAATACTTAGGCCACATCATCTCATCAAGGGGAGTGGAAATGGATCCAAGGAAAGTTAAAGCAGTAACAGACTGGCCCACCCCACAAACTGTCAATCAACTTAGGGGATTTTTAGGCCTTTCAGGGTATTACCGTCGATTTGTGAACCACTATGCCCAAATTGCAAGTCCCTTAACTAAGTTGCTGCACAAAGATGCTTTCTACTGGGCTAAAGAATCACAAGAGGCGTTTGATAAGCTTAAATCTGCATTGACTTATGCACCTTTACTAGTGTTACCTGATTTTTCAAAGACCTTTGTGGTTGAAACAGATGCTTCTGGAAAGGGAATAGGTGTTGTACTTAGTCAAGATGGGCACCCGATTGCTTATTTCTCAAAACAGATTTCCCCAAGGATGCAAGCTCAGTCTGCCTATGTAAGGGAATTGTATGCAGTGACACAAGCAGTTGCCAAATTCCGCCATTACCTTTTTAGGCATCATTTTATCATTTGCACCGACCAAGAAAGTCTTAAACATTTAGAGGGACAAGTGATTCAAACATCGGAGCAAGAAACTTATCTTCCAAAGTTGATGGGCTATAATTTTTCTATAGAATACAGACCTGGAAAAACTAACATCGCTGTGGATGCACTATCCTGGATAACACATATGGCATTGATTAGTGTGCAATCTTCTCTGATGAATGACCTTATCATAGCTGCCCGAAACTCTAAGTTCATTCAAGAAGAGATCCAAAAGGTTGAAGCCCATTCTCCTGCTTTAACAGGGTATACTGTGAAAGATGGCCTTCTTTATTGGAAGGAGAGATTGGTGATACCAATAGACTGCCCCGACTTGATTCAGAAATTGTTACTTGAGTTTCATTCCTTCGTGGTAGGGGGACATGCTGGAGCCTTTCGAACGTTTCAGAGATTAGCTACCTGGTTCTTCTGGCCAAATATGAGAAAAGAGGTGACTTTATTTGTTCGACAATGCTTAGTTTGTCAACAAGCTAAGCATATTCAATCAAAGCCAGTGGGTCTATTGGCTCCTTTACCTATTCTAAAGGCTGTTTGGGAAGACATAGCTATGGATTTCACTGTCTCTTTACCGGTAGCTAAAGGTTACTCAGTTATTTTTGTTGTTGTTGATCGGTTTTCAAAGTAGCTGAGGCTTTTCTGCATCATGTGGTGAAATTGCATGGGTTCCCTAAAACTATTGTCTCAGACCATGACAAGGTCTTTGTTAGTAACTTCTGGAAGCAATTGTTCAAGTTGCAAGGGACGGAGTTATGTATGAGCTCTTCATATCATCCTCAAACGGATGGACAATCTGAAGCTTTAAATAAGTGCCTAGAAATGTACTTGCGCTGCTTTGTGTTTGAGTGCCCTCGATTGTGGCTAGATTACCTACCTTGGGCTGAGCTTTCTTATAATACTGCATTTCATACTTCCATTGGAATAACCCCCTTTAAGGCAATGTACGGACGTGATCCTCCTTCTTTGTTACCAGTGGAGTATTCTAATGATTTGCCCTCGATTTGTCCCAATAGTTGCAGCAGCGGGACCTTGTTTTAGCAAGGTTAAAAAACAATATGGTTAAGGCTCAGGCTCGAATGAAGAAATTTACAGATATGAAGTGATCAGAAGTTCACTTTGCAGTAGGTGACTTGGTTTTGGTTAATCTACAACCCTATCGTCAACACTCAGTCGCACTTAAGAGGCACAACAACCCCTCCGTTACTTCAGACCCTTCCCAATCAAGCAGAAGATTGGTACTGTGGCTTACAAATTGACACTACCGGACTCAGCCCGTATACATCTAGTATTTCACATTTCTTTGCTAAAGAAATATGATGGTCCTTCGTCCACTCCTTATGTGCCTCTACCATTGTTAACTGACTTGGGGGGTCCTGTTATTCAACCACTCCACATTCTGGATACCCGTTCGGTTAAGCGAGGTGAGCTATGGGTACCACAGGTCTTAGTACAGTGGGATACTAGGGTTGCACCTACATGGGAAGATCTTTCTGAATTTCAGGATGCCTATCCTTCTTTTGACCTTGAGGACAAGGTCTCTCTCTTACAAGGGGGCCATGTCATGACCCAAAATGAAAATGAAAATGCAAATGACGTGAAGGACCTCTCAAGTGCCAAGGGAATGCGACGTAGCATGAGGACCAGGCGTCCCACGTGGAAACTTAGGGAATAAATATGGTTAGGGAGTGGAATGAGGCGTGGTGATTGTTGTGACGTTCCTCTCTATACTTTGCTTCTTCTCCAGACCCTATATGGTTACTTCCTCCTACTACTTTCTCTGTACTTACTCTATATTTTCAATTATTCTGCAGCACTGATGTTTCATTATTCCTGAATGATTGTGTTGTAAATTCCATATGATTCACTAATACAAATATCATTCAAAGTATTATTGATCATTGATTGTTGACTGTTAATAGATCCATAACACTTTGCCAAATAATCCTAGATGGCCTCCTTCTAAGAGAAGCCTCACTTACAGCTTCGACCCTTCTGGAATTAATGGTGTTGTATCACTAGATCAGTTAAGACAAACTTTTCTTCTAGTGTTTGGGCAATGGAGTGAAGTCACAAAATTCACATTTAATGAGGTTGTTACTGAAAAAACCGACATCGAGATCGGGTTATATAGCCGTCATCATGGCCCCGGTGCTGCGTTCGATGGTCCAGGAGGTATTTGGGCTTATGCTTCTCCACCGACAAATGGAAGCCTTCAGTTTGATGCAGATGAGCACTAGAGCGACGTGCACCCAACACCAACCGACCAAGTCGATTTGGTGTCAGTGGGTTTGCATAAAGCAGGACACATTCTAGGACTTGCACATAGTCAAGATCCAAATGCATGATGTATGCGTTTATAAACCCTGGACAAAGTAAGAGAATTTTGATTCCTGATGATATTGCAGGCATACAAGCCCTATACCCTACTTAAGGAAGAAGCCTTTGGATTGTAGAGAATATATGATTGTAATAAAAGAATATAGTTCAGGAGACTATAAACAACTCAATCTTACTGCTTGGGGCCTAATAAAATCCATCTATTAATGTGTTTAACTGAAGGAAATTCGCTGTATTCGTATTCATCAAAATGAGGAGACTCAGGTAGGCGTTAGTAAACTAATTATGAACTGGCATGAATATCTACCAACCACATTTGATTTCTATGTATTTCACTTCAAAAAACTACATCTTGGTGTACATTATAACAGTACACATCAATATATAGCCATAAATAAGACAAAATTAGAAGTACATAAAACTAATACTGTTGTTTTCTTCTTCTCTTTTGCCTCCAATTTGGTGAGAATGAACTTGTATATAATCACTGCCTTGACGTACGCAAGTCTTTAAAAACGGATGATCTGCCAGCACCTTTAACCAAAAATTGGCCAAAAGCAAAATAGCAAAACATCTTTTCATGGACTGCCAAATGCTCAGCTAATATTTTCTTCAAGTTTAGTCTGACGTATTATAATCTGCATATATATATGCCATTCAAAATATATATAGTTCTATGTTACATAGTTCTATCACATCTCAAGATTTACATAAAAACATAAGTGCATAATAACCCAACCTTGTAGATATATTGTGGCTATAAAAACGGGTATTAACCAAGTACTCATAATAAGGGTGGGGGGTCTGCTAGGGTTTCCTTTTCTTGCGGTATGGTGCGATGGCTCCTCCCACGTTGAGAAGGGCTCGACTAAAGGGGTCTTCTAGGGTCCCTTCCCTCATCTGTGGGGTTCAGCAAGGAGAGAAGTGGCGTGATGGCGGTGCCTACTTCCTGGTGTAGGCTAGGTGTGAGTATAAGACTTGTGTGGGTAGGTGCATTGGTGTGCGTGTTTGGGATTGTAGATTGGCGGCGGCGTTTTCATAGCAGGAACAATCTGTGGAGGGGCGGCAGTTTTTTGGAATTGACCTCGAGATCAGGGAAGAGGAGAAGACTCGGGTTCTGATTACTCTGTGGTAGTCGTGGATCTTTGATGGGTGCCCTCTAGACTTGCAGTGATGATGTAGCCTTTAAAGTTAGGGCGTCCGAGATCTATGGTGAAGATAGAGCTTCTGCAAAACGAATTTATGGGTGCTACTTTGTGTGTATCATATGCCATGGGGAAGATGAGTGAAGAATAGAGGAAGCTTCAACAAGGGAACTCAAAGATGAAGAATTGGGAATTTATGGGTAAAGTGGTTAATGGTTTCTTAAATCTCTGTTGTTTTTCTGCTAGTTGTGCATAGGGTTTAAGTATTGATTATGCTTATACTACTCATATCGACTCTTGGTTTTTGCATCTGGTGTCTAAGTTTGAGTACTTAAAGGGCTAGGCGTGGCTATAGCTTACTGGGTGTGGCATCCAAGGAAGGTTTGTTGTGATCATTCTCTTGATAAAAAAAGTCTGAGACCATGAGTAGCACATATATAAGAAATGAGCCTCTAATCTCACTGTGGAAGGGTTAGTAGGTGGGGAAGAGAAAATCTCGATATGGAAAGTTCTGATAATAGAACTATTGAAGCCTCAAATAGTAATGAAGCTTCTTTAGTTTTAT